ACGCTTTTTCTCACCAAATTTATGAATAAGAAGTCAGAAATTAGATGATAGAAATACGAGTGTTAATTGGTGATAATTATGCTTATTTTTAATGACCAGACTTAGCTATAGCTCTCTTTAATCAGGATACTCATAAATTATCGAATTCAGTGTTCTAACTATCATTGAGACGGCTTAATTATATCCGAGTAACGATAAAAACCTAAAACTTAGTGAAATAGAGCTTTTACATTAACATTAAGTAAAGGGTAAACATAAAACATAATGTTTAATAAACCATGGGAACTACTGAATCATGAGAATAAACTTACTGTTAAGAAGAAACTTTATTCAACTAGAAATGATATCATTATGCATTGAAAGTTAAAAAAAGCATTAATAGTCAAAAAAAGGTTTGTATTACTTAGTGTTTGATTTAACACTGGTGTTGTTACGTGTTTTACATAGGCTTCAACGTTAATACTTGTATAATCCCTTTATAATGTCAGGGTATTAAGATATAGTTAGCCATAAATCCTTTTGGTTAAAATGTATATTTCACCTTATTGTATGAGATAATGAGGGCTTATTTCGGCTTGTCGAATTTCATTTTTTCAGGGGAAAAACGTAAATATTTCCATTTTCATTTAAAGCTTACAGGATTAACCATGAGGGAACCAGGTATATAAATGTAAGAAAACAAATAATTTGTACAGAATTTCGTGTAGTTTGCATTATATTTTGTCTAAAAACGTCTCATACAAGTAGTCAGAAACGTTAGTGTATGGGTATCATTTTATTTAATAATAACCACTTTCATGAAAGTTTTAGTGATTGAAGTGTGAATTTCTAGTGACTAAATCATTGACATATCCTCTCCTCATGTTACCTAACGATTTTAAGTTCAAGCCTTGTCAAAATTATTGATGAATATATTTGAGAAGTTCAATGATATTTGTTTAGTTGTTGAAGTAAAATAAGTCAGTGATATAAATCATCCTTAAATTGTATAGTCTTTATAAGCCTCCCACATTAGAAACAATAATTAATTCACACAAAATTCACTTATTAAATATAAATACTATACCTTTTGTTACTTCAATCAATTGAAAAGTGTTAATCTTATATGTGAATCGTTATTAATTTTTGATCTATCATAGTTCACAAAATTCATTATAACTTTGTATATCTAGTCTAGATCGAAATACTGAACATGCTATTAATGATTTAAATATATTAGGTTAATTGTTTCTAGTTATGGAAATTATTTATTATGTACAAATGTGTAAAATGGTACATAATAATGGAATAATAAACTTTGAATTATTGTAAATAATTATGTAATTATTTATTATATGTAATAATATTTGAGACATTGAACTATCATTTTAGATAAGTAATCACTATAGAATTAATTATGAACATGATCGATATTTAATGTATCGATTAATATTCATGTAACATTAGACATTATATAGTTAACTATTCTTATCATCGGTCTTTAGTGTGGTGTCGAGTAGCGTTTGACTATGAACACCACTACAAGAAGACTACGTGCCAGTTAACCGATAAAATCCCCCGTAAGCCAAATATCAGAAGTCAGTTGACGGATATAGTCGAGATGTATTTGTTGGCGATCTCGTGGTATCGAAACGATACCGAGATCGTGCCAAAGGAGTACAATCGTGGTTACCGAGCGTAACCGAACTCGTGCAAGGTCACAATCAATGGAAGGATAAAGGAGCAGTAATAATATGGCTGCCTTTAGCACAGTTAAACAAACGAGCACAGTAAAAAAATTACTGGTACAATTGGTTATAATAATGATTGTTTTCATTAAGTAGGTCACTACAGGTCAAATAATTGAATAACTCAAACCATATCGATCTATCTATCTATCTATCTATCTATCTATCTATCTATCTATCTACAGTGTAGTTCTTCAGTGTTTCGACTGTTCTGATTTAGTTTAATAATCATAATAATAATAGTGATAATGATAATGATTTACCCAGCATCTCAATTCACTATATTTTTAATTCTTATTTAACTAATAAAAATTTTTTTCAATTCAATATAAATATTTAAACTATTTTAATAATGTAATTTATTATATCTTCATGTATATAAAGGAAGGTACAAAGTTCGTTTAACAGACTTGGTTAATGTATTCTAATTCATTCAAACAAAATACTCACAAAATAAGTAATTTTCTAAATGACAAATACAATAATAATAATAATATTGCTAATTATGGTAATATAATTGATTATATTTTGGATTGTATCAAATCTATAATGTATGTTTCATTTATAATTGTAAGTTATTATATAACTATACTTATATTACAATGTTATTGTCCATACTAAAAGTTAAACTTAATCTCTATTATTATCAGAATGTGTTTTGTGGAGATTTTTAGAAGTTTTCACGGATTGAAATCATGAGTCAGTTGAAGCTAGACCACCATTAAAAATCTGGAAGCACTGGACGGCCGTTTCGTCCTAGTATGGGGCTCCTCAGCAGTGCGCATCCACGATCCCGCACCTCTCTACTACTTTAAACATTTAAAGTATAAGCATCAAAATTGGAGTGTAGGAATACGTTTAGATGTTATGTCTACAATAGAAATAAGTGTATGATATAGATTGGAGTGTTATCAGTCGACCTATCCAAATATAGTTCGTTTAAATAATAACGATTAAGATATATTTCTAATTAGTATCAGAATGGGTTTGGTGTAGATTGTAGTAATTACAATAGTTGAGATCATCAATCAATTGAAGCTAGACCATCATGAAAAACTTGGAAGCACTGGATGGCCGTTTTTTCCTATTGTGGGACTCATCAGCAATGTACATTCAGGATCCCGCCTCAATAAGACGAAACGGCCATCTAGTACTTCCAGATTTTCCATGATGGTTTAGCGTCAATTGACTCATGATCTCAACTAGTGAAATTTATATATCTGTTGATATATTTCTTGTAATGAACACTAAATCCATCTCTCAGATAAATAGAAATGATTGTGGTAGTATTTAAAATGAAATATTTTGATTCATGAAAACTCAGTATGTAATAGGATAACTTAAATTGTTTAGTACAGTAAAAGATACCATCATAGTAACTGATGATGAGATTTACTATTGTCTTTCCTCTTTGTTATATATTCCCTCATCTAATAAATTCAAACTAAACCCATCCCAGGTATTTAATATAATTTTCAATCTATCTCTGAAATCGTATGATAATTATTAATTATAAAATTATCAGAATTCTTTCAATACGAACACAATGAATGAGAACATTTCAGTACTCTACGTCAATAATCCACTAGTTAATTTAAAGTAGAGAAAAAGGGACTTTCACGATAGCTTTATATTTGGAACAAAAGTTAAATATCAACATGGGACAACTCTGTTTATACAATAACATCTAATGACATTCGAACACATAAAATTTTTAAAGTAAAAATGACAACAGTCAGTTGGATACAAGCAAATATCATTGGGAAAATATGAATAAGAAAAAACTGTTATTGTGGCTATCTTTTAAAGAAAGTTCTAACATGTAATAGAAGAAATTAAATAACACGAGCTCTTCTTAGGATCATTAATTAGCTGTTCTACACTAGTTTATTAGTGCACATTTACAATTTCATTACAGACATTAAACTAATAACTGTCAAGTCTCATAGGGAGTATTATATCCATCGGGAGTTAAGTGGATATCCAGTTTTAGACTTTTTGTTAGTTCATTTGAGTAATGGTGTAATATATCAAATCCATTTATTATGTTACTATCTGATTCTATGCCTGTATAACTCTACAAGGTATAAATTCTTATTAAAAGAATGAAAAGAATTCATTATACAAATTAGTTGGTATCGTGATATTCTATTAATAGGTTAGAATTTCTTATTTGCCTTGAAAAAAGGGAGTTTCATATTACTTATCAACTAAGATTTTGTTATGTTCACATAATACACAGTCCTTTGTGAAAAAGCTTAAGTAGAAATTTAAAGCTTGGGATTGTATTTGTTCTACTGAACAAATTTGTAATACAATAAATAAATGAATATATTTGTAATATCCCAATGGGTAGAATAATTCGATTTTCTGATGTTTCGTGACTCAATGTAAGCCATTTCTTCAGAGAATAAGTAACTAAATCAAAACTAGTCCAAGTTGAAATAGTACAAATAAGCAAAGCAAGAATATTATTCTTGCGTGATGGATTCGAATCCCACATATGGGATCGAGGATGCGCATTGCTGAGGAGTATCAAACTAGAACGATACGGCCGTCCAGTAGTAGTCTAACATCAATCGATTCATGATCACAATAAAAAAAATTTAACAATCTCCACAAATCCATACTAATAATTGTACTTTTTCGTTTTTGATATCTATCAGTCATTTTCTTCGTGTAGCCTGAGTGTTTTTTGCCACTTATTGATTAGTACAGTTTTGTAAGCAGTTAGGTTGATGCACTACTCCATCAGTAATACTAACAACTTGATTATCAATTATCTTCAGCGTATGGCCGGTCTCATTTTATAAACAACCACACACACACACAAGCACCCAAATAGGCATAACTACAAAGTATAAGTTCAGATAAAATATAAAATATAAATAATGCTCTCAAACACTGCACTAACAGAGAAATGTATATAAATGTACACATACGTTTATATATATATTGGTGCACAAGCAATGAGTGTACTTATGAAATGTGTTTATCCAAGTTACTCTGTTATCAAAAGCATAGTTTCTAAACCTAAAACAATTGAATTTACATACACACACTACGTTGTATACACTTATACATACACACTTATACATTAAATTCTAAATTTGTCATTATTTTCTGTTTTAAAATGACCTCAAATAGACTTATTAGGTATTCGCTTTTATCCAACGCTAAAAAACCTTACACAATATGCAAATTGTGATTAATATATGGTATATATATATATATATATATATATATATATATATATATATATATATATATATATAGCACTTCATTGAAGCGAACGTATTTTCGAATATAAAAAGTTATAAATTACAGATTCGATATTTTCTTGAGAAACAAACAGAATGTTGGAAGAATTTATCAAAGCATATCTTCATATATGTTCTGATGGTGATCTAGTTGCTGAACGGCATGAATTAATTGATTATTGTAAGAAGAAAAATCTTGATCAAAATTTGGTCCAGGTAAATTATAAAATTTATATATATATATATATACTCATTTGCATAACAGTTAGTTTCTCTAAGTTATTAATTTCTGTTTAATAGATAATCTTTCATCTTACTGTAGTCCTCTACAGGTTACGAATACCCATGGGATGTTAGTAGAATGAACAAAATTTTGTTTGATAGATGATAATATTGATAACCGCCAAAGAGACCAAATTTCTGATGCTAATTCTTTCCCTTTAGATAGTATATAAATTTACAGATTATAGGCAGAAAGATAAAAAGGTCCCGGAGTGAACATCAACTCAGATGCATGCATATCAAGCTGATGGGTCCCAAATAGGACGAAACGCGCATCCTGGATTTCACTGCAAGCCATCATCTATCTTTGCTTATAATGCTTGTGACCTAAAACAGAATCGAGGTAATATGCACAGTATACACACATGCCAATAAGAGACTGATCAATTGCAGTCTTAAAACATCAATGGAAAGATTCAAACAAACAATACCAAGTCAAATTATCAAATATCATTCAGAACCCAAGCGAATGTTAGATACACATTGTATAATCAATTAATCCGTCACTAATATTATGATCAAATTAGTAAAATTGCAGTTACTACTGGCATCTGATTTTTTTTAAAAAGAGTTTCGTTATAGAATAATAATTATAACAAATCAGTTATATTTATCAAGATAGTACAATGGTTACAACGGTTTGTATACCTTGATATTACGAAAATGTAGAGAAGTCAACAGCAATGAAATATCAATTACAAAACTAAATTTTCAACTAAATAGTCTTAAAGTTTGTTGATAAAACGAAGTGTTGTGGGTAGATTAATTAGATCAATGAATAGTTGAAACGTTTTTTTTCGGAAAATAGTTATCGTCAAGAAAGGTAAATAGACAGCATGAAAACATCAAACCAATATTCAAGATATATATTATTTGCCAAGGTGTTTTGTATAAAGATTATGAAAATAGTTATTACCACATAGTAAAATTAGTTAGAGAACAAATATAAACTAAAATCTGATAGTAGACAGTTATTTCGCAATTATTTAAGATACCCTAGCGTTGTACACTTACAACGTAATAAAGGATAGATTCAAGAGATCTTTATGTTTTTTTTAATACCAGGTCTAATATTTCAAAACTACGTAAATGTAATATAATGACTCAAATTTTCACGTTTTTTTCAAGTTCCGTTACTCGTTATGTGGTATAATCATCAGTTGATATTTCTATTCGACTTCCACCATAGATGATAATTCTATAACTCATTACTTCCTGACAGAATGCTAAGAAATCCTACTTGGAGACAATCATCAGTAAATGTATGATTCATAATAATGGAAGTAATTAATGATGAAATGTCTTAAATAATTATCGTTTTTACTTATTATAAATGTTTTAAGTTCATAATGCTTGTATTACAAGCCATTTTCTCTAAAATAAAGAAAAAAAAAATAGATTCAAACACAAAATGTATAAGTAATGATAAAATTTTGAGGTTAAAATGGTAAGACTGATTATCAGTTGCATTTTGAACATTGAGGAAAGATTTTATAATTATTTGAAAACTTGCCGTCAATCTTTAAACCTTCTGTTTTAGAATTTAATCACTCACACTTTACAACTACAGTAAATTTATAGTTTGCGATATTGCGCAACAATCTTCCTTTGTCTTTGGTGGTCAACTTTTTAACATTTGACATGTTTAAGCATCACTAGTCTTGGCTTCTCAGTGCGACTCTCTAAATTTTCTTTCGAATTTAGTCGTTCGTGAACATGTAATAACTATCAGTATATGGGGTTTGTGGACATTCTTGAATTTTGCTGAAGGTACCAGATGACCTAAGTCAGACAGATTTTCACTAGTGTGCAGTGATGTCTGTAAACTAAGTCACAGTAATTATTATCATACCTGTATTTATTAGCCCTTTATTTTATTTCTTGGTCCACAGCAATGGATTGATCGTTTTGATGTTGATAAAGATGATCAAATAACAATAGAGGAATTTTGCCGGGCATTAGGCCTAAATCAATCAGAAATGTAAGTCGTTCACAAAATATTGGTTGTATTTTTATTTGATATTTACTTCGAAAAAATCCATTCCAAACAAACTATGGTTTCTGTCGTTATTATGAGTATGCATAGGTAAGAGATCCTGAATTTGGTATGAGTTCACACTATTGAGTAATCTCATATTATGATGAAACAGCTATCCGTTAATTCCTGGTTTTCAATAGGTCACTCCTTAATGTGAAACTACAACATTCTGTAAATGTTCACTCCAGAACTCAAATCTAGTACCATTCGCTTCAAAGGCATTCACGTTATCCACTTAGCTACTGAGTCCTGATAGCCAATATCCATCTTTGCTTACAATGCTTGTGAATTAAAGCAATATCGAGGTAATCCGAACAAGATGCACATATGCCAATTAGAGACTGATCAATTACAGCTCTAAATATCAATGGGAAAATTCAAACAAATAATACCAAATGAATTAAGATTTCTTCATACCTTAAAAGAATTTGATATGTTCACTAGTGTACTTCTTAAAACCATCAATTATGTTGTACATATACAAATTTGTATATTATATTATCAATCTATCAATTAAAAATGTAGACTGTATATAGAAACAGTATTTGATATTTATGAATTGATAAGTCCTATACTCATTCGTTTCATCAACTTAATACAGATCTATAAGCAAAGATGGGTAGTGGCTAACAGTGGAATCCAGGACGCGCGTTTCGTCCTGTTTGGGACTCGTCAGCTGGATGTACCTGCATCTCAGAGTTGATGTTCACTCTGGGAATCGAACTCAGTACCGTTCGCTTCAAACACCATCGCCTTATCCACTTAGCTACTGAGTCCTGATAGCCATGTGCTTGTGCAATGGGGTGAAGTTTAACTCTGAGATGCAGGTACATCCAGCTGACGAGTCCCAAACAGGATGAAACGCGCGTCCTGGGTTCCACTGCTAGCCACTATCCATCTTTGCTTATAATGCTTGTAAATTAAGGCAATATCGAGGCATACGCACAGTATGCACATATGCCAATAAAAGACTGATCAATTTCAGTCCTAAAACATCAATGGGAAGATTCAAGTAAAAACAATATCAAGGGAATAATACAGATCGAGTAATTCATTGATACATTTAAACAAAACAAGAATAATATGATTTATAGAATGAAATGAATTCATTGTATTTTAAGGTTTATCATTACTTATAAATGACTTGGAGTTACAATTAGTATTATTAGTGTAAAGAAAGTTACTAATACTTTAATCAATGAAATTGAATTACAAACAACACAGAAAAAAATATTAGAAATTTAGAGAAGATAGAAAATCATTTAACGTAGTCGTTAAGATTGATGGGTTGTTCTAAATTAGAAGAAAATTCATATTATGAAATGTATCTTAGATGTGAGCATTATGTTATCCTTGAAGGGAATACCTGTAATCTGAGTAGATTAATAATACAATATTCGGTTGTATTAACGTTTAGTGTCTAGTTGAATGTACGAGGGTGTATACTTTACATTGATTTTGTAGGTAACCTTCCTGTGAAACAGATATAGATAAGTAAAAATAATAGAATAACTATTATCCGTTGACTGATCACTCAAAATATCGATCATAAAACAATTTAGTTCACTAAATGTTGACAGTTAACTTTATGATTACATTATTTTCTTTAATTTCTTAACTATTAGAACTTGAGAATCGTATTCAGAACTATTTGATGAACAATTTGATCTGATAGGAATGTTTAGTATGAAATTATTTAGTAATTTATCATATTAATGTCTAAGTACCTTGATATATATAGGCACAATGTTCAATTGAACTGTTTTTCATGCTTACAAATTCGTTTCAAATAAAGAATTTTTTAGTATCAGAAGGGATTTTGTGAAGATTATAATAATTTTAATTGTTGAGATCATGAAGCTAGATCATCATGGAAAACCTGGAAGCACTGGATGGCCGTTTTGTCCTATTGTGGGATTTCTCATCAGTGCGCATCCACGATCCCGCCTCACGAGATTCGAACCCAGGAGCTATCGATTTCACGCGCGAACGCTTAACCACTAGATCACGGAACCGGCATCCAACGGTGTTGATATCTAACTTCAACTAATCCACGAAATTGAGCAACACATCCACCATTGTATTCTATGAGTTACTATCTCACAATTGACCCGGTTGAACTCCACTGGTTACTGCTTCTCACTTGAACTCCAGGAAATACCTCTTGAACATAACTCTTAAACATATGCTCACTAGTGACGGGCTTCAAGAGGTATTTCCTAAAGTTCTTACAAGAAGCAGTAATCAGTGGAGTTCAAGTGGGTCATTTGTGAGAAAGAATCGTTTATTTAATATTTAGAACAATAGTATTGTGTACTATGTAAAACGATTGAACTTATCAATTCAAATGGTATTTTTCATACAGTCAACTTAATAAAACTAATTAAAGTTAATTTTCAAATTATTAAGTTCCAATGTAACAAATTCAATTATAATGAACATGTTACATAATGATTTAAGTAACAGATTTATAATTTTACAGAAACAACAAAATATGTATCTTGTAACTAGATTACTAAGCGATTATTATAAGTGTATGATCCAATATCCTTAATATTATGTCTTAAAATGATACTAAAGGAATAAGGTTTTAATCTAGTTTACATAAGTTTAATTTGATTCTACAAGTATCAATTATTTTGATAGAGTTTTATTCTCTCTAAGCTGGAGAGAACAAAACTCCATCAAAATCATCCACTTGAGCTACAAATCTTCTCCACCATCTCAGTGTCAATTATATTGTATTAATTCGAAGACTTTCAATGTAGCTTTTATATTTTCAAGCATCCTTAAAATTTGTCCAGGAATTATTTACTGGATTATAAATTTGCTATTTGTTGTCATTTTTTTAATAATCAGGTGATCTATTACCTCTAGTAAATTTTATAAAAATCTCGCAATCTCGCTCACAAGAATCCCATACTAGGACGAAATAGCCATCCAGTGTTTCTAGGTTTTCCATGGTGGTCTAGTTTTAATCGATTCATGTATTCAACTAATAAATTCCTTGTAATTCATTAATTATCATTATCTTTTTTATTATTGAGAACTTACAATTCATTACTTACAACTTACTTACTTACGCTTGTTACTCCTCGTGGAGGAGCATAGGGTGCCTAATAGCACTCACCATCCAACCCTGTTCTGGGCAATCTTATCCAGCTCTTTCTAGTTGTTATTCATCCTTTTCATATATGCTTCTATTTCCCAACGTAATGTGTTCTTTGGCCTTCCTCTTTTATAAATGTACTACTTAATCATTATAGCAAGTATATACCACCATTGTATGATCATTGAAATTTACAAATCTATTTACATTGTAGTTATAAATATATTTGATATGTTAATTATGGCATACTTTCAATTACTTTTTACTGTTTTAAATCAAACTTTTAAGAAATTGATAATCTTATTATACATTTATTGTGTGGATCAATTTACTAATATATAGATAATCAATACATCATACGTAGCTTATAAGGCACAAACATTGCTTAATCATTGTTAAGAAAAACATGTTCATTGTAGCCATTAATGTGAATATATTTCGATTACAGTTAAAAAAACATTCATCAGAGATTAGAAAGTGTACCATAAAACTCCTGTCTCTAAGATCATTTGAATATCTTCAACATATGAAAAGATTTCTGTATATCAATTTCTAATTAAATTTATATAATTTAAAAAGTTGTAAATATATAGTTTGTTTAAAATTTATTTCATTTATATATATACTACTTATATTATTTTTTTTTTACTTTTTTTTTTTAAAAAAAATAGGTGTATAGAAAAAGTTCAACGTAGTAAAGTAAATATTGCATCAACACCGAAACCTTCAAAAGATTTTGAAATTATTTTATCAAAAATGTCACCACAAGCTGAATATGATATAACTGAACATGTACGTGAACTTATGGGTGATTTAAAAGAATTTAAACAATCAGAAATTAAAGAAATATCTAATAAATTAAAACAATATTTAGATGAAACATATGATCGTGTATGGCAAGTAATTATATTAAATGGATCATATTGTATGAATTTTTCACATGAACCATTTAAAGCTTTACATTTTAAATATGGACCAAATATCTTTTTATTATGGCGTACACCAAAAGGTTAAAATAATCCAGTAAATATATAATTAAACATTAAAAAAAAAGAAAAGAAAGAAAAGAAACAAACAAACAAACAAATATAAAGATGGATTGAAACATTGATCTTAGTATTTAATGTTAATTAGTTATTTACTATGTTCAATAATTATGATGTTTGTTACTATGAGTTATGTAATTTTGTATTGCAAAGAAATATACCTATTACATGTACTACAATTAAAAGAAACTTTTTAAAAAAATATACTTTTTTAATAATAAGGAATTTAATAAATTATTGTTTATTATGTACAAATGAGATTGGTGATAAAAGTTGGTTGAAGTTAGGCATTGATGTTGGATGCCGGCTCAGTGGTCTAATGGTTAAGCGCACGCGTGCGAGAGTGATAGGTCCCTGATTCGAATCCTGCAGGTCGGGGGTAGTGGATGCAAACTGCTGAGGAGTCCCATACTAGAACGAAACGGCTATCCAGTGATTCCAGGTTTTCGATGGTGATTTAGCTTCAATTGACTCATGATTTCAACTATTGAAATTACTAAAATCTCCACAAAACCCATTCTGATGATAAGAGTCTTAGTAAAGATGTTACTTCAAGGAAAAAGAAAAGAAAGAAATTAATAATTATGAAGTGATGAATAGATATAGGAAGTTTATGGATGTTGTTCAATTTGTAGATTATATCGTGAACTTATTCCAAGTAGAATGTAATGTATATTCAATGCTTTTCGATTTTCAATGATTATTTAGCTGTAATCAGTTAGTTATGTATATAACATATTATAAAGGTTGTTTATTTTAGAGAATAGATGGTGTAGGAAAGATTTTTGTTAAGTCCGCTAATGCTTGTTGAACAATGGTTATTTCTAACGTTAGATGTGTATAGTGTAATTAATGCTTCTAATACAGAATTTGTATTACATTCATAGTTCTAAGTATATTACTTGAGGATACATAAGAATTATGATTTTACATGTTACGCGATTGAAAACAGTCTGTAGGAAACTGTCGTCCATTAACTGTATGGAACATATTAGAAATATATATCTATAATCTTGAGTTGAACAGTATTTCCCATGATTCGAACCTATATTACTGAACATTGAGCAGAATATAACCATCAACAGAGCTGTCAATATCTGACACCATACCCTGCTTATACGAAGACAAGAAACGCGACCTCTATAACTACTTATGAGAATAGTTGAACCAACTAAAAAAATAGTACCAACAGGTAGCAGACAGTACTATGCAGTTGTGATAAATCTACTGAAGAGAAAGTTAGCCTTAATAACTGTAATCTGTATGATGGATACAAGATGCATACCTAGACAATATTCAATTTGATACGATGTGTAAACGATAATGAGATCACGTTGAACAAGAAACATATGGTATTAGTTTATGAGATTATTACTAGTTGGTTTGAGTTATGTGAAAAAGTGTAATCATCGATGCCGAAATCAGATAACAGTAATTAATCATTGTATGTTCATTTTCAGATTACTTTAACGTTTATTTATACAGAAAAATTGATTATGATACTATATCTTCTTCGATAAAAGTGTAACGTTACTAGTTATGCACTGAATTATAGAAACCTATGTGACCTGTACAATTGTACTGAATGGAGTAAATGAAGTAGCAATAGTGAAGTGATTAGAATGATACAAGGATGTATGCTTTGAAAACATAATAAAAACACCTTCATCTATAAGTGATTGAAAGTTGTAGGAATCGATAAAGCATGCAATTGTAAGACAAAAAGAACATGATAACTATCATCATTTTTATTAAGATTCTTATACGTAAATCATTTGAACCTATATGAATAAATGTCTTCCCTGACCTTACTCTGATTTCAAGACAGAAGAACCTCTAATTAAACTTGATAAATTGATTATTCATGAAGAATACATTATAGTAATTTCTTTTTCTTTAATCATAAACTATTCTCTCTTACTATTCTTATTCTGACTGGTTATAAAAAAAACAAAATTCAAGTATCTCGCAGATTCATTACATTAGTTGTCCTAAAAAGTTTAACTTCATTTTAAGAGTTACTCAATTTCAATAGTATAATTTAGTTATAAACTTTATAAACTATAACTAAACAAAATTCATTTGATTCTCTGTAAAAAACGATTTATTTATTCAAACCGTTTTGAAATTTGTTTAAACAATCGTGTCTCAGAGTGAACGTCAACTCTCTGAAATGCAAGTACATCCATCTGACGAGTCCCAAATAGGACGAAACTCGCGTCCTGGATTCCACTGCTAGCCACTATCCATCATTGCTTACAAATAGCTTGTGAATTAAGGTAATATCGATGTATACGTACAGTATGCACATATGCCAATAACAGACTTATCAATTGCAGTCTTAAACCTCAATGGGAAGATACAAGCCAAACAATACCAGGTGAACAAAAGAGTATGTTTGCGATTATTATATGTTTTCAACTGTGAGAAGCCATCACCAGTGATGAAACAAATAGCTATTTCAGACAATGGAAGATAGTTGGTTGAAATTAGATATAGGATACCGGCTCAATAGTCTAGGGGTCAGTTGTTCATGTGCGAGATTGAAGGTCCTGGGTTGGAATCCCGAGTGTGTGATCGTTGAGTTCCATAATAGGACCAAATGACCGTCCATTACTTCCAGGTTTTCAATAATGGTCTAACATTGGTTTATTCATGATCTCAATCAAAGAGTGATTATTAAATTTTATTGTTTTTTGTTATCGAATTATGAATAGAAATGAATGGAATTAATTTAGTTGTTACACAATTATCACCAGACATATACAAAAATAAGAAACGTAGACCTTATAAGTTCATTACAATATTGTTTGTCTTTCTCTAAAAACAAAGACGACAAAAACAATTAACAATACTACTACTACTACTAATAATAATAATAATAATAATAATAATAGTCTTTTGATTGTATATACGATTGTATTATTAGAAGTGTGTATATTCGGGTATGAAAAAGTGTCACTTTTTATTGCTTGGATGAAACAAAAAATGATTGAAAACTGTCAAATAATAATTATATTCTTTTATTATTCTGTCAAGGCTTAATTCATTAGGTTACTGAAATGTACTTTGTTGGTTTCAGTACGTTTGATATGATGATAAATTGCACCTATTTCTTTTTATCTAAATTCCTTTTTTGTATGAATTTGATGTTCATCATAATTTTATGTTACTTTGGTATGAATTGAACTGCCACTGTTCATTGTAAACTACTTGGTAATTAAGGGTTGATTCGAACTATATTGTTTACATGAGTGTTGATAAATCCAACATACTGTAGCTTTGAACTTTTCAATTTATTGGTTAAAGTAAGAATGTTTTTATCATGGAGTTAGATAACTCATTATGGTCTGCTCAAATGTTTGAGGTACCTAATTTCCAATGGCAAATATATGATTATACATCATGTTTTGTTTAAACTGAATTATTATGAATCTTTAATGTGATTGCTCATACAGCATTATAATCAACTTAACACCTGTTGTGGTGCTAAATACCGGAGATCTCAAAATGAAACACAGCACCTGTTGACATATTCCTCTCTTTGTCTACCATTCGAAAAAGAAACAAGAAAAGAATTTGTAAAAATTGATGTTCAATTCTTGATGGATGAAAATCAGTAGTTGTAGCAGTCAAACTGATAGAAAACGTTTTTCATTAAAGATGACTGTTGGGTATTGACCCTTAAAAAGCCATTACAAATATAAAATTTAGTGAGTTGTAAAACTATGAGTATTGTCATTATTATTATTATTATTATTATTATTATTATTATTATTATTATTATTAGTAGTAGTAGTAGTAGTAGTAGTAGTAGTAGTAGTAGTATTAGGATTATAAGTTACCCCAACACTTTTTCACAAACAAACAATAACTTTTTTGAACCATCAAAAAGATTCATTAAGTCAATGATGAAAAAGTAACAACCATTTCGTTAAGGAAAATTCTCTTTCTAACAGTATCATTTACTGAAACCTTACAATCGTATAAATAATTATCTAACAAATCTGATAGTTACACTTGGTATTGTTTTACTTGTATCTTCCCATTGTCATTTCAAACTTCAATTGATCAGTTTCTCTCTTAATGGCATATGTGCATCCTGTACGGATTGCCTCGATATAGCATTAAGTCACAAGCTTTTTAAGCAAAGATGGATAATGGCTATCATTGGAATCCAGGACGCGCGTTTCGTTCTGTTTAGAACTCGTCAGCTGGATGTACCTGCATCCCAGAGTTGATGGTCACTCTATTCCATACAATTCTTTTATAGTATAGTTTCATGTTGAGAAAATATTACCCTCGAAAGAATTTTTTTCATATTTTCTAAAATAAATTAAGCAGTGTATCACTACTAATGAAATAACAGATTATTCAGTTAATGTCTAATTTCACCTAATTATGATTAGAGCTTGGAAATTTCATTTAAGAGGATTATGGTAAAATATACTCATTTGATAATTCTTTTATACATCAAATCAAATCAATAAATGGGTGTTTTCGGGATATCATCAATCAGTAATTACAGTAGTATGCTAAGAGCCAAGAGACTATTGATTGTAGAACATCCAAAAATTATGCTTACAGATTGAGTCGTACATCCGTAGAAGAAATCGCGAGTACAGCTGGTACGCATTAATTATAATCAAGGTAACCTTATTAGATAAATGATCGTTCAAGAATTACTGATCTCTACTCCTAGTATAGAAATATTTCCAGAGTTCTGTATTTCAAACCAGTCTGTTGAATGAATTCGGATGAAAAATATTTGAAGATCATTAAGTTCATAAACAACTGTTTCCTGTTGGATTAACTTTAAAGATTTCGAGGTAAAACGTTTATGGATATTCTTTTAAAGCCAGAATATTATTTTCGCATTAACTTAGTTGATTTTTCGTTGTATGGTAGACATCAAGAACATTACCACTTTTTCTGACAAAAGATATTCACACTTGTTTGTGTAAAAGATTTATTTTATGCATTTTACTTATCAATAACTTTTGTATCAGGATTATAAGACGTTACACACTTTTACACAGTACAATCTAAGTATTCTGAATATAAAGATTAACCAACTAATTAAAGCAAGTGAAATTCAATCTGGTGAATTATTTCACGAAATATATTTTATGGAAAAGTACGTGATTGCACTGACCGCCTGTTTGGTAGAGTGGATTACCAACTATTTGCACGTGATCTTACCACTAATACTTTCGTTACCAC